GGTCTCTCATTAAATTTTATGATGTCCCAAACGAAGAAAAACAAAACAAAAATTACACTCTGAAGGCGCTTAAAAGAAAAAGAAAAAGAAACTTTACAGTCGACTTTCATATACTACTACATTTGTATTTTCTTAATCAAAATCTAGAGCGAATTTGACCAAAGGAATGGTTTTTAGAGCATATTCAACAGTGCTCTTTACTTTAGAGAGTATCTTCTATGCTATAAAGAGTATCTTAAGGAATTTTTAAAATAAAAGAGTGAAACTTGTTACAAAATTTTAATAGCACTGCGTATATTCATTAATTATATTATTTTTCAAGCAAATAATTTTCATCATTTCCCTTCTTTTTTATTTTATGATTTCCCTCTTTTTTATTTTATAGAAATCAAAGAAATGAATAGAAATTCGTGCAATAATAAATGAAGTATGTATAGAAAGTGAATTTAGCTTTCTACTTTTAGATAATCAAATTCACTCTTATTTAGAAGAAAATGAGTTTACTGGACACCTTAAAAAGAAATTTAACTCTCTAAAATAAGAAAAATTAAGCTAATAAAGAGCTTATTCGATATGATTTTGTGTTATGAATTCAACTAATATTGACTCGAAATACATGTATTAGCTGAATTATTGTATTTTGAACAAAACTATAATAAAAGGCAATTGCAATATTTTTGTAGTACAAAGCATGAGTTGAGCAGATAATTCAGAATTGAATCGATTACCCTTCATAGGAAGCAATGGAACTTCATCATTTCCTTTCTTATCATGACAATTATTATCTTCATCCTATTCAAGATGCCCATTTCTATAAGGATAAAAATAGTTTGTGATTATCTTTAAATCTTAAAAAACTCTATATTTTAGTCTACCCTAAAATTTAATTCCGATCCCATCCCTATCGTAAATCATTAAAAAAAATTAAAAGAATAAAATATCAACACTAAAATGGTTTATTTATTGGTAAATCATTGTGGTATATTTATAGTTTCTCTATAAAAAAAAAATAATAATAATAATAATAATTTTGTTATATCTCTCAATGTGCATCCAAAAATCATGACACTAAATGAAAAGGACGTAGGACTAACTATGAAAGAGCCACAAATAAAAGTAATTGCACAAACATTCAATGCAAGATTAGAGAGAAAAAAAGCTACTCATGGATTGAGAATGCTTTTCTGTCATATGTCCACTCTGTTGTCTGGTATTCAATACCCAAACAAAGCCAGCCAACTACATTATTCCAAACATGGCAATTTTCCAAAATCATCTTCAAAAAATGAAAAATGATTACTAGTAAAATTTAAATCTGATTTTTTTTTTAATCAAATACTTGATTTTAGATCATTACAAGCGATTTTCACTGTGTTATCTTTCGTGCGTCACTTTCTTTCTCGCTCTATACTTATATTGCGTCTCTCTTCCTTTTGTTCCTTGAATTCTTAACTATCGTTTATGCTTATTTTTATTAATCGATTTAAACTTCTTCTAAAAGTAGTACTGAACATTTAATTTCTAACCTCGTTGATCACTATAATCAGAAGAATTTTGCTAGTTGTACAATTTGAATTATCAATTTTGGTTGACAATTTCCTCACAAGAGGAGCCCACAATTTTTTTGTTCATCCACACCTCCCTTCCATGTGTGTGATTGTTAAATTCAATTGTCCATGGTCGATAATCAAAATGTGAACTTTTAATGTAACTTTCGCATGATAGACGCAATTTCTGAATAGAATGATTTGACATTACGGCGTAAAAATAAATTGCTATTTCCACTAACACTGTACCTTCTTTTGAATATTCCCCACCTCTCATTTCCCGCATATATTAACAGCATCTGGCAGAATATTACAAACTATCAATCCTCATATCACTCCACCACCACTGCCACCGCCACCACCAATGTTGCCATACGCCACCGTTCAAGAGGCGGAAACCGCCCTAGGCCGATCTCTCACTGCCCCAGAAACACTTTGGTTCAATTATTCCGCCGCCAAATCGGACTACTTACTATACTGCCACAACATTCTGTTCCTCTTTGTCATTTTCTCTGCTGTGCCCCTTTACTACATGTTACTTGAAGTCTTCTTTTTAGAATCTGTCAAATCGTACAAAATTCAACCCAAAGTGAAGCTTTCAGTTTCGGATATGTTCCGATGCTACAAATCCGTCATGCGCATGTTCTTCCTCGTTGTGGGACCTCTTCAACTCGTGTCCTATCCCTCTATTAAGGTACCCATTTCTTAATCGAACCCATAAATCATTTTTTGCTCTTTGATTTTGTTAATTTTGTTGATTTTTTTTTTTTAAATGAATGAATGAAGATGATAGGGATAAGAACAAGTTTGCCATTGCCTTCTTTATGGGAAATTATAGCACAATTGGGGATTTATTTCATTGTGGAGGATTATTTGAATTATTGGATCCATAGATTTCTGCATTGTAAATGGGGGTATGAGAAGATTCACAAGGTGCATCATGAGTACACAGCTCCAGTCGGATTTGCGGCGCCGTATGCTCACTGGGCGGAGGTTTTGATCCTCGGGATCCCCTCGTTTATGGGGCCTGCAATCGTCCCGGGTCACATGATTACTTTCTGGTTGTGGATTGGACTAAGGCAGATTGAGGCTATTGAGACTCACAGCGGGTAATGCACGCATGCTTAATATTGCTCATGCTTTGATGTGATTCATATTTCGGTAAAAAGTTCCAGCTTTGATTGATTGAATGTGATGAATCTTCTTGCTTTATCTAATTTGACCAAATGATGGCTAAATAGTAACACTAAAACACTTTCTTTTGAACTGTTTACTTTTTATATTTCCATATTATCCTTGCCAATAATAGTAGATTAAGTTTTGTGCTCAGTAAAGGGGGATCAGAGGATAACTTCCCTTTTTTCTTTTTAGATTTCTGTTTTTGGTATTCTATGGATGCATGAACTTTCTGTTACCTTTCTTCTTGTTCTTCATTTCTTTTTTCTTTTTTCTTCGTTTGGGTGATTTATTTTAAGAGTCCTTGTTACCATCTCTTTATTTCCCTTTTTTTTTTTTTTTTGGTGTCAAAAATAGCTTCTTTTTTATGGAAATATAGACATAATATTTATTTCATTTTCTATCTTAATAAAATGGCTTTTAATCAAAGTAGTGGGTCAGCACAACCAAGCCACCCAACTCGAACAGTTTAGAGAATTGGGAGATTGTTGAGTTGGGCAAGTTTGGAATGTTTGTAGAGTTGGGCTCTCTGCTGTCGAGTCAGATGAACTGGGTGAATTGGCCTGTTTGATTCTCCAGACAGGAAAACTCCATTCAAATCATGTGTACATGTATATTTCTTTTTCTCACTTCTTATTGAGTCTATGTATGCATACGAAGGCCTCAAGAAACCAAAGAAGAAATGTTCGCTATGCACTTTCGCAATAGAACTATTCCCCGGCCTCCTATTCTTCCTCGGAACAATTCTTATTCCTTCTTTTGAAATATCACTTTGAATAAATAAGGAGAAGGACAACTTTGGATTATGAAAATGTTTAGGCTTTTTGTAATAAGAAAATTTAAAAGATGATTGCTTTTCATTTTTCCTCACTACTTTGGTTCTATTTTAAGAAAATTTCTCTTGGTTTATTCACATATAAACATTTATATTTGTGGGATTATTTCTCAGTTTTGTTTTATGTAAATAATAATACATGCATTTGACTCTATGTTTTACCCCTTTTCCTTTTCCTTCTTTTGAATTATACCGTGCATTTTACAAACTCGTGCATTTAAGACATTTGCATTCCAATGATTAAATATTTCCATTTTGTTACTCCTAAAAGGAGTGATGTTGAAATAGAGATTTTATTATTCCCTAAACTCTGTTAGCATCATCGGTGTTATATTAAGATACTTGAAATGAAGAAACCTGTACATGGGCTCATGATCAAGTGTACCTGAGATCTTTTGCTTGTATGATTTTTTTGAATAGTTCCATGTTGGGATAGAATACAAGGGAAAACTCATATAGCATATGAATCTCAGTTTATCAGACAATTTGATTGTGGCTTCTTGGGATCATATTATAGTTAATTCAAGCAGCTTGGCTAGCTAAGCCGTTTTATAGCTGTCGATGTAAAAATTGTAAAATCTCCAGTTAACATCGAGTGGGGTGGACTGGATTGGACCAGGTCCTCTGAGTTGATAGAATTTTTTTTTCTCCTATTATGTTTGTCTTGATAAATGCAAATCATGTTTGAGAGAGGGGGTGGATGCTCATTCCACTCTGATGGTCAAGTTAAACGATGTCTTTTTATGAAGTGACATAAATATATGAGTGTGGAGTGTAAGTATGTTTATATTGAGAAAGACTAATAGAATTCCTCCTTTAAGTCTTTGGTGGGATGACCTTTTGGAAAGGGAGGAGAGGAACACATGTCCTCTATCGGTTGCTTGATTGGTTATGACTTATGCCATCATCCTCAGAGTATTTGTTATTTTGTCAGACTGAGCTTGGAAGTCATGGAGATGGAGATGAAGTTTAGATAGAATTTAATATAGAGTTAATCTCATTTAAATGCTTACAATTCAAATTAAACTCTATATTAAATTCTATCTAAACTTCATCTATATCTCCGTCAGTGAGTGTCAGTTGTCTAGTCATAGTTGTGAAATACACTAATGCCGAGCTAGTGCTGCAAGACTCCTTGTGCAAGTGTCATGTTAGGTTTTGTTTGTACTTTGTATCTGGTCTGCTCAGCCATGTGGTGTTTGGCCCTAATTTGCCCCTTTTTGCTCATGCGACCAAGCATAACTTTTACCATAAGCTGTCTTTTCTAAATGCCGTGTGAGCTCATGTGAGCGTCATTCTATCACTTTATGTTAGGTTGTAACGAACGGAAGGACAAATCATGTCATTATGTAGGAGTAAGTGAAATGGATTTTACATGAACTTGTGGAACGTGAAATGAAATTAGAAAACTGAGCTGATGATCGGAAAAAAAAAATGGAATATTGATCTACTTGGCGTTCATGTGGGGATAATTAATTTAGTTAATTCCTTTGGCATTTGTGTGGGTGTTGCTGCACTCCTTGTACTTACTATGTTGTTTAAGTTAATATATTTTAATAACTGTAGGAATTCAAACTAGCTACATATGGGAATCTCCAGTTTACTATAATTATGGGTTCATATTTTTAGGGATATTAATCTTCTGTATATAGCTGTAATTTACTTCCCTTAAATAATGTAAATTAGTTACTAGAAATCAGGATCTTCTCCACAGATCTTTTTATATATATATACCTGTATTGTACCTAATGAATAAGGAGAAAATTACTCCCATTCTATTCTACTACATAGTATCAGAGCCAAGCTCCTAAAACCTAAATTTTTCATCTGTCTAGCCGCCGGCCCTAACCTATTCTCAATTCATATTTCTCTGTCACCTCTGTGATAATCTCATCCACCATGGCCGAATCTGAACAAACTTCCAACAATTCTTCATCATCTCCCAATACTCCTATCAATTCTCAGGTCACTCAGACCACTCCCGAAAACAATATTACCCCTATAATCAACCACAAGCTCAATGGCCACAACTATCTCCAATGGTCGCAATCCATAATGATGTTTATCAGTGGACGAAGTCGGGATGATTATCTTACAGGGGTTGCTGCCCAACCAAGTTCAAGTGATCCCAGATTCAGAGTTTGGAGGGCAGAAAACAATCTGGTCATGTCCTGGTTAATTGGCTCAATGACTACCAAGATAGGTGAGAACTTCCTTCTCTACACTACAGCCAAGGAAATATGGGATGCAGCCCGTGACACCTTCTCTAGTAGTGAGAATACTGCTGAACTCTTCCATGTAGAGAGTATCCTACATGATCTAAGGCAAGGAGAAAACACAGTCACCACCTACTTCACCACTCTGACGCGACACTGGCAACAGTTGGACCTCTTTGAATCTCACGAATGGAAATGTCCTGATGACAACACCTATTTCAAGAAAATAGTAGAGACCAAACGCATCTTCAAGTTTCTGATGGGTCTTGATAAGTCCCTTGATGAGGTGCGAGGTCGAATACTTGGAGCCAAGCCCCTACCAAGTCTTCGAGAAGTCTTTTTTCGAGGTACGTCGAGAGGAGAGCAGAAAACGAGTCATGATGGGACATTCTAATACACCTGCATCCACTGATGGCTCAGCCCTTGCTGCAGCCAAAGACCACGTGTCCATGGTCGAACCTGCTGCTTGTGCCGCTCGCGGGATGTTCCAGACTCCCGGTGAAAATCGACCACGAAGGGGACGTCCTTGGTGCGACCACTGTAAGATGCCAGGCCACGAAAAAGTAACCTGCTGGAAGTTACATGGAAAGCCACCAGATTGGAAGCCAAACAGGGCTACTGGCTATCGTGAGAGTCGGGTAAATGCAGTCTCTACAGAAGCAACTGAATCACAAAACCAAAACCCTTTCACGAAGGACCAGTTGGAGCTGCTTCAGCACCTGATTAGCAAGGGAAATATGTCAGCCTGTCCATTAAAAATTGGGACAGGGGACAGATCTGTGCACAACAATGGAAACCAGGCACTTCATGTGAATCAGTCACCCTCAACATCTTGGATAGTGGATTCAGGCGCATCAGACCACATGACAGGTGATAGATCACTGTTCTCAACTTATACTCCATGTCAGGACTATCAAACAGTGCGTATTGCCAATGGTTCACGCTCAAGAGTTGTTGGAATAGGAACCATATATATCTCACGCAATCTTATCCTGCACTCAGTGTTATTTGTTCCTAATCTTAATTGTAATCTAATCTCTGTAAGCAAAATAAATCGTGATCTTCACTGCGAGACTAAATTTTTTGGCAAATCTTGTGTT